GAAGGAAAAAACTAACAAATTCAACACTGTAAAAATTGGAAGTAAGTTTCTTGTTAGGTTTGAAAAATAAGGAATCACTGTGGTAGAAACGAAAAAAACCTTCATCTTGAAAAAGGAAACATCTGAACCCCTTAGAAATTTCCCCAAGTCCTGCATGAAAAGGAGGAGGTAACCCAAACCAGCCCCTAGCACAATGATGGGAGCACATACAGAGAAGCTAAGTGGTTCTGGTAACAATCTACCAATGGAAATCATCACAGTAGGGATTATACTCTGAATGTTCTTTCTGTGGGAATTCTGATGACAAATTACAACAAGGAATTTCCTTGTCAACCTGACATATCTCTGTGGAAGGTTTTTATTTCAATAAATGGCTCCTTCCAACCAAAAGTACATTGCTGAAAAAATTTCAACCGGATTTATTCTATACACGATCACTCAGAAGTGATATTATTACACGACACATTCTCTTAAATGTTTACTTAAAAGAACCGAAAGCCTTTCCCACAGGTCACTCTGTCCCAGGTTAATGTAAAACATCGCTATAAACATTGTATTAAGTTAATTCAGAGGACTGATTGGACTCTTCAGTTTAAACCAGCTCAGTTTTCTTCTGTTTTTATGTGATTGCAAAACTTTCCCTGATTAAACAGAATTCAGATCATTGAAACAGGGTAACTAAGTTGGTGCACAGAGATAACGCAGAGATAAAGCTGATTCCCTCAGTGCTGAAAAGATCACAGTTCGGATATCTTCAGGATGGAACATTTCAAGTTGGAAATTTCAAGTTTTCAAGTTTTAGGAAAAATTTCTCCTCAGAATGAGTAGTAATGCACTGACACAGGTTGCCCAGGGATGTGGTGGGGTCACGCCAAATGCGTTCCGGAACCGTGGAGATGTGGCACTCAGGACATGGGCAGCAGGCACGGTGGGATGGGTTGAGATTGGGGATCTCAGCGATCTTTTCTAACCATAATGATTCTGTGATTCTATGATTCTAAGAGCTAGGGGAAGAGCTCCAAGGGTGGTCAATTGTCCCCCTTGACATTCCTCCCAGGTCTGAGGAAGTCAAGATCTGGGAAGGATGTTGCCCTTTGTTTAGTGGCCATTTTAGTATATAACCAATAGAATAATAACAAACAAAGGCCAAATCTATGTAACTAAAGTAGATGTAAATCAATACTACCATTAAGTAAATTGATTATTTTCTTACCCCAAAATTCTTCATGAATATCAACGAGCTTTGGCTCAAGCCTTTAACACCCTGTAGTAGCCTTACTGTGCAAGATGAACTGGAGAGGTATTCACTGACTAACAGAAGTCACCATGCATTTCCCAAACAAAGGTGCTGAAGGTGCAAGAGAAGTCACATAAATAAAATAACAAATAATTGACACAGAAAATATTTGTTATCCTTATTTATTTAACAAAGAAACATAATAAACTTGATTTTTTTTTTTTTCCAGGTACAAACAGCTTAATATGTCCTATGATATTGGCTGATATTTTCCTTGCTCTTTTTGTAGCTTGAGTGAATCACGTGGTAGCCTTTATTGAACAAATCAACATAAAAAATGGTAGCACTCATGCTTATAGACAGTGTGGGCCAACTATTAAGTCAGTGTCTTTAACTAAGTCACTGTACTGGGAGGACATATCATTGCTGAGTACAAATTGGCATCTCCATTAATAAAAACCTGCAAGTGAGGCTATCTGAAGTTTTGGAGGGGAGTTCTGCATACCATACAAAGATACCATTCTCTTTCAGCCTTAAATAAATGTTCAACAAAATTGAAAACCCAATGGAAAAGCAATCTTCCTGTTACAAAGCTTTTGAAAATAATTTACAATTCATTTTTTTCTAATAAAGTCGCACTGTAAACACCTATAGTTAAGACCTAATTTCATATGTATTTTTTGAATCGACAATTATTTTTTAACAGATTTTGGGTAAAAAACAGAACCAGTTATATTGCAGTGTTACTACAGGGTCTCACAGCAATGGCAATGAAATGTTCAACGCATGAGTGAAATGACCCAAGGAAGAGCTCTTCTCTTGTATGACCAGTTGCCAGCTTATCTTTGCATTGCATCCCATTCATCACAGGGCCACACTCTTATTAAGAATACAAGTTGAATACAAGTTGCAAATAATTAAAATATTTGTAAAACAGTGATCAACACAGCATTGCTATGTGCAGGTTGATTTTTTTGTTGTTTGTTTTGAATATTGTATATTGAATGATAAAAATCAGATAAGAAATCCTCTTAATTCTTAGCTTTTTTCCTTCTTCTTTTTTTTTTTTTTTTTTTTTTTTTTATTCTGAAGCTTTGAAAGGAAAATAATTTTACCAGTTGTCAGCCAATAAATGCTTGTTCACCAGGTAATGCATGTACTATTTCCTAATTAAACAGTTTCATTATAGGCAGCAGCTCATTTCTAATGATCGATAAATCCCACTGAGAACAAAACATTTTAATCAGTAAGTCATGTCCTCTGAGTGTCAGTCACTCTACAAACTCACAATATACTTATATATGTATGGGTATACGTGTGTGTGTGTGTATGCATATAAATATAAAAATCGCATACTCTTTCTGGGTGATATGTACAGTCAGAATAAGATTACAGCATAAATACACAGGGAATCTGTATAAAGTTTCTCTAATTTGAGAAGCCTTGAGCAATTTTCTTTTTTGGGGGGAGGGAGGGGGGTGAGGGGAAAGGATGGTGAGGAGGGAGGAAAGAATAAAGAGTGTTTTCACTTTAAGGAACGAAGAGTAGTTCCCTTAGGTTAGAATCTAATTACATACAAGATTTAAAGGCAACAAAATCTCCAGAGGAACAGCCCTATGTTATACACCATAGACATGGGGTTAAAAGGGCAAGAGAGCATGATTATTATAATACTTATAGAATACGTTTCATTCCCTTATAGCACTTTGCAACCAGAAAGTCTGACAACACCCCTGTGAGGTAGGTAAGTATTATTACCCCCATTTTACAGATGGGTAAACTGAGGCACAGATAGGTTCAATTATTTGCCTAAAAATCACATAGCAAGAATCAGGAATAGACCCCAGGAATCCTGCTGGCAAATCCTCTGCATTATCCAATAGCCCACTGTCAAATGAATGCCTGAGACACCTCTCAATGAATGGAGAGAATAATTAGCCCATATTTACAGATACACAGTCATCCTCTTGACACGTTGTCTTTACACATTTTGACTTGTTTAGAGGACAGATAACAATGGCCATAGACAAAGTTTGCTGTAACATGTTGCTTTAATTCTCGTTGCCAACCCCATGTGGATTTTGACACCTTTACAACCTGGGATGTAACTAAATGTCAATCACAATACACCTTAAATACATTCTTGATATCTTTGCTTTTCCGAGGTGAAAAGCACAATTACTCTTCCTTAAAGTGCAATGGCTCATTACAGAAATCTCAAGATTTTTCACAAAGTTCAACCAAACCAAGTACAATCAGTCTGAAGGTGAAAAAGAAAGAACCTGTCTGCAATGACAGAATTGTCTCTATATTCCATAGATACTTTTTAAAATTCTATCACAGCTGAAAGTTTAATAATAAATAATAAGCTATGTTAGCACATAAAACCCCTAATACTTTTCTACAGCCACGCATCCACCTTCCATTCTGTTGTCATTTCTTTGGCCTGAAGCTGATGGATGCATCAGCTGTAAATATTCCTTTGCCTGCAGGAATGAGGATGTTCCTATTTTCTAGTGGACTCTTATCATTGGTTCCTGTATTTCTTGTCCTTCCCCAGTCATCTGTACCATCTGATAAAATGAAAGATGGACGCTGAGAAGAAAGGATTCAAAACCTTAGAGGTTACACACAGATCCAGGGGCGATTCCCCTCCAACCTTATTGAACACACTGCTGCAGCCATTCCTCATGACCCAATCAGTGTTGTTAGGATTAATAATACTATTTTTGGAGTAATATTGATGCACAGAGTTTCCAAAAAGGCTGCTTAGCTCAGTGTTCCTGGGAAAACATAGCCTATCCCATGCTCTTAACTCTGCCAGCATAGACGGTGCCTTGAGCACTACACACAAGTGATGCACTACTTCTATGGCAAGTTTGATTGCAGTATTCAAAGCAGATTCTTGAAACAAACTAAAAAATTAGTGCTTTTATTAACAGGTTTACAAACAGAATCCATTACTCTCTGGGTTCCTGAAGGATAAAACAAGCAATTTCTCTTATGATTTTTGTCATCATTTCCTTCTCTGTTTTTTTTCTTTTTTTTTTTTTTTTTTTCTTTCTTTCTTTTTCTGTTCCTGCTGATGAGCAGTTGCAAGTCTCAGCGGGAAGGGCTGAGTGTAATAAAGTTAAATGTTGCTAACTGGATGGTTTACTTTGCAACAACTTTCCTCTTCAAACAACCAGGATCCCGCGAATTCCTATTATCTCGACTTAGAGTTCATCATGAAGAGTGTAAGGATCATTAATCTCCATGGAAAAAGAGACTTTTTTAAGTAAAAAAATATCAAATATAATAAATTTATGAAAGACCATTCACAACATATACAGTAAGTGTTACATTTTGCTACAGCAGCTGTGATATATTTTTTTTCTTTTTAGAATGCAAGGTCATACATTGCCATAAGTAAACACACTAATATGAGTAAGACCTTAAATGAATGTATACAGCCAGGCTTTATCTGTGGATAGATATACACTGTGTTTACTGTTTTACAGTCTAGCATATTCCTATTCACACCAATGATATAACAGCCATGACCCTGCCAAGATTCTTCCTGTGCATATATAAATATAAATATTGAGCCAAGTCAAAAAGAGCAGGGTCAGAGGTTATATGACTTATTAGACTCCTGTAGTTAAGGGTAAAAACTCCACTGTTTCTTTCGCAACTAATGTTTAATAAAAAGGCTGCTTCAATTGTTGTGTAGTTACAGCATTACATTCTGTAAACAATATTTTAAAGCATTCTAAACAGACATTTAAACAATTGATTCTTTATCTCTGTCTGGTGAGAGCAAACAATCTATGGCCTCATCACTTTTGCTCGAGTCTGTCAACTTCAGCTGGAGATTCTCGCTTGTACCTCTGGTAACGCTGTCGTAGGACGGAGGGAAGGACGTGGAGGACAGGGTTTCTGATTTGTCTATTGGCCTGCCGTAGTTTTCGTTCATCATGAATGCAATGAGACCCTCCTTCTCGGGTGCATCGTCCTCGAGGATGCTGCCATCAAAAGTTCTGTGTCGGTACAAGTAAGACGCCTGCTTCATTGAGCGCCGAAACAAATGTCTCCTGTAGGCGCGCTGGATGACGATGGCTGAGACCTCTTCTTGTTTCCGTCTGAGAGTTGTTGTTATTGGTTCGTAAGAGATCTTGGATGGATTCGCCGCCATGAACTTTTCTTCCATTTGTATTTTAAGGGCATCCATCTCCCCAGATTCTCCTAGCACCCTTTTTGTAAAAGCAAACAAAATATCCAAGCAATGGATCCTATCTCCACTGACCATGGGCAGGTCCATTGCTATGAGTTTGATTTTGTTTGGTTTTGCTATGCGCAAAGGTTCTGACAGTGCATCTGCAAAGTCTGAAAGTGCAGAATACTCAATAAACTGAGTGGCTTCAGGGTCAAACTTCTCCCAGATTTCATAGAACATATCAAAATCATCCTCACTTAGAGGCTCTGTACTTTCCTCAGTGGCTACACTGAAGTTCTCTAAAATAATGGCTATATACATGTTTACAACAATGAGAAATGATATAATGATATAAGTAACAAAGAATAAAATCCCTACAGCAGGACTTCCACAGTCTCCCTTTGAACCATTTGCATTTGGAAGGTTTGGGTCGCAATATGGTGGTCCAGTGTTCAAAATGGGATTGAGAAGACCATCCCAGCCAGCTGACGTTGTGATTTGGAAGAGACAGAGCATGCTGTTAGCAAAAGTTTGGAAGTTGAACATGTCATCAATCCCATATTCCTTCTTAACATAGGCAAAGTTAGCCATGCCAAAAATGGCATAAATGAACATGACCAGAAAAAGCAGGAGGCCAATGTTGAACAGAGCAGGTAGGGACATCATTAAGGCAAAAAGGAGAGTTCGAATTCCTTTGGCTCCCCGGATGAGTCTTAGGATCCGGCCAATTCGAGCCAAGCGAATGACTCTGAAGAGTGTGGGAGAGAAAAAGTATTTCTGAATGATGTCAGAAAGTACGGTGCCTTGAAAAGAAAAGACAAACAGCAAGTTATTACCTTGGAAATAATCCCTGATTCCCTCTAAACAAATCGATGAGGATTATGGAAAAAAAAATCAATGAAAAGTTCTGCAAACTGGAAGACCTAAGATAAAGGGAATGGCATTATCGTTAGCATTTTCACGGTCTCTTAATCCATGCAAATTTTGTTGAGATACTGAGCAAAGGTGTCAATGGTCGTTACAGTTTTATAAAGGGAAAAGTCAACTATCGGGAATGAGAAACCAGAATCGGGTCAGACAGGACACAACTATCTGCAGCTTTTGGTCATGAGCCATTTATCTGGAGTACAGCTGGTCAAGAGTTTTCTGATTTGAAAATATTTTTGTTAGCAAGATGTTAGCAAGTCAACAAGTTCTGTGATTCAACACTGTGTGCTGGGTCTGTTTTCATGAGCAATAACCAAAATGGTGCAAATTCCTACTGAACACTGGCTTGGTTGCTTGCTCATTAGTTTTTCTAGTCTCCCTGATGAGCTGGGAAAGAACTAAGGGCTAAGGCTACTCTAGCAAAAAATAAGCTTGCATTCCTGTGACTGAACTCTCTTCCCTGCAGAGGCCAGATTGTCTACTGTCAGCAGTCTCCAGATGCAGTGACACATGGCCAGCTCATGCCATCTCATCCCCTACTTGGGAGAGGCTTTTTTGGCATGGCCCAACTCCTCCGACGCTGAAACAACCTGGTAGATCATGGGACACAGCTATGGGCAACACAATGGCTCTGCTTAACTGGCTGCCATGGACATGCCCACAGCATGAAGGCTCTGATAACAGCTGTGTGACAGTGATGTTCCCTATACATTCACAGAGCTGAGAGCAGCCAAATTCACTGCGCCTACCCACAGCTCACCTGAAGAACTTTTTCCCATTTATGTAATAAAAGGTGAATATCAAAATAATAGCAGTTTGCATGTGCCCTTTTCATGTGGCTTTTTTACTTCTCTGACTTAGACTGTTATGGCTGAAGTGTATGCTGCTGGTTCTGGACTATGTTTTATGTTTATGCCCATTGAAATCAGTACTGTAGTATGATACAATGACATCTGTTATCTTCATCACTGCTGTCAGAGTGTTTGAGTGTATTTAAATATTAAAAATCACTTAGAATCCAGTTCTCTGAATGATTTTTTTTCCCCACAAATCTTTCAACTCTCTCTAATTAAGCTTACATTCACCTTTTAAGTTTAAGTGTGTTTAAGTGCTTCTTTGCCATTCAGATTCACCTACCTACGATAGAAAGAATCACGACGACAAAGTCAAAGATGTTCCAACCATTGGTGAAGTAGTAGTGTCGTAGTGCCAGCATTTTGAAGATGCACTCCCCAGTGAAGATGGCAACAAAAAGCATATTGATTTTGTGGAGGATGTTCACTTTTTCCTGACTTTGATCATCTGTTTCTACCATCATGGTAACCATGTTAAGGCAGATGAGAATCATGATGGAGACATCAAAGGCTTGTTTTGAGACAACATCAAAAATAAAACCTTGGTATTTGTTCTGGAGGAAAGAAAAGAATTGTTAGGTAGGAGATTTGAACCATGTCAAAATGATGACATGATTTTGTGATTCATCAGGAAGCAGTGGAAAATAGGCTATATACCAGCACTTCAGAAACAAGAAGATGATGATGGATAGTTGGATGATAGAGTTTTCAAACCCATTTACGGCTAGTGATTCTTGAAACTACTGAAAAAAGACACTGGATCAAGGCCATGAATTCATTCAGTGCAGACATGTGGCCACTGGAATGACTGCATATGTAAATTGGATTTTTAGTCAATACAGCAGAACAGTGGAAATTCTATACTACACAGGAAAGTAGGATTGCAAATACTGTCAAAAATCATAAAATGTAGAAGAAAAGTGGCTTTCATCCGGGAAGTGGGATAGCATTTATTCTATTAAATAAATCTCTATTACACGTTATTCAACTGAACTATGCCATTCTTACCAGTGGTCTTGGGATTGGCTTTTGAGGTTTCTTAGATCCCAACTTTTTCATTGCATTATAATACTTTTTCTGTTCTTCTGTCATAAAGATGTCCTGGCCACCTAAGTATAGGATGAGAAAAACACTGTTATTTCCAATGAAAAGAGCCCCACTGCCTCCATCCAAAATCCAGGGCTGTATTTTCTTCTGCTGTGGGGAGATGAGGGGCTGCTACAACTCTGATTTTGTAGAATTCTCACAGAACAGTTGTGCTAATGTTAATCATGTGGATAATGCGGCAAAGCTGCTGCTTATAAATCGATCTCTTGGCCTTGTCTCAGCAGTGATCACAAGATGATGTGCAGCATATTCAATACTTATCTTTTTCTTCTGTTGGTTGAAATTGTCTATGATTACACCAATGAAGAGGTTCAGTGTGAAGAAAGACCCGAAGATGATGAAAATCACAAAGTACAGGTACATGTATAAATTACATTCCCATTCAGGCTGCTCCTCACACTGCAGAGGGAGAAGGGAAAACATGAAAATGACACCAGATCTGCACAAATCAAAATATTAATGCGGTCCAAAGAAAACTATCCATCAGCAACAAAGATTATGAAAGAGGAAAAACAATGCAACTCCCACTAGCAGAGTCAGTGCTCTCTGGTATCTGAAATGGCATGTTTAATTCAGCTCTATTTTATAATACTGTCAACAGCAATCACTCTGCCTCAAAAAGTGCAACTTCAGAATAAATCCTACAAAATGTTCTCAGTTTGAACACAGAGGGGAAAAGAATCGATCTTCTGGTTATCCCTCATCTTATATGAACTAATGGCACTTGGGAAGAAACAAAAGTAGGATCACAGCAAAATTAGATGCCACTGAAAAACACTGGATTTAGAGTGAATGTGTTTAGAATTGTATCTTCTTAATAGAGACTTCAATATGCAAACCATTTTGATAACAGTGCTGACATCAGCAAGAATTTTTCCAAGGAAGAACAGTATCCGAAAAACCTGTAGCACAATCCTGGAGTCTGAAATCCACAGAGTTTTGGGTTATCATCAGCTTATCCATCTCAGATAGAATGGAGAAAGGAAAAAATCAGGGTGTTTCAAAGGAGCCCAGTGGCACTATGGGTGGCTCTGGCTTTCCAAATCTTTTTCGTGCATAAATCAACATCATGCAAAAGTGATCCTCTGTTAATGCCATGAGGTTTTTTCAACATTTGTCCTTCCCTTCAAGGCTTGATTCCCTGTTGGTCAATTCAACCTGACTAAATCTCATTCATGAGTACTTATCTCAACATTCAACAGTAAGTGTAATCTCGTGCCTTAAATTAATTAAAAGAGGGAAAGGAGACAATGCCTCCTTCCATTAAAAACAAATACCAAAACTTAAAAAATCCCAGTGCTTCTCAAGAGGTTCCTGTAATTAAAAATTCAATTCATGGCAAATACGGCAGTCAATGGGGAGAGTGGAAGAAACACAATAGACAATTTAGGTCTTTTGGTAGATTCAGCCTCACTCTGGAGATGCCTCTCTGTGCTGGGAGTTTTCCAGGACAAACAGATGAATTAATTGAATAAATCTGTGGGCTGCATTTGATTTAATTTCAGGGTCATGAGACTTCAGTGCCACCTGCAAAAAATGAAGGTCTGCAATAGGCTCAAGCAGAGTAAAATAGAACTGGCAGCCTGCGTGTATTTTTGCTGCTGTTGTTAAACATCCTGAATGTGGCAAATGTCAATGGAAAAGGAAATAATCTCTTTCACTGTTGTGACCTACCTCTCGTGAATCCACTGCTGCATACATAATATCCATCCACCCTTTAAATGTGGCCTGAAAAGAAACCACAAAATACATAATTGAGCATATTAAATTAGCATATCTGGAAATGATGGTACCATCATTGTGATGACTTTCCAAAACACAGTGTTGAGTATGTATGTTCTTCATAACTAATGAATTGCTTCTCCTTTAAAGTAAAGTGTATCCATCAGTTGATGCTCAGTTAGTCATTTAAAATCATATATAAGAACATGATATATGATGCAATTATAGGGCTAGAACAGAGGCTTTTAATGGAAGTGGGGAACATGGCAATTAAGTCTTCTGAAGCTGAGCAGGAACTTCTTTATACTTTAACAAGCTCAAACCAGCAAGAAGCAGGACTCCATAGGGCAACTCAGAGTGCCTGTATCACACAGGTCTCAGGCCAGGGAAGGTGGATTCCATCTCTAACACTCATTCAGACTGACAAGCATTGGGTACATTTTGGGGTCCCACTGAATCTTGGATTCTGCCCTCTTAAAAAAGGGCATATAAACAGTGTAAATCGAGGTAACGTCAAAGCCTATGGAGTTGCATGAATCATTGCTGGCTTGAAAGTCACAAGGGCAATCAGCACCTGGTGTGAGCCTGGCCAAGGACAATCAGCCTGCTTCACAATTCAGGTATGCCTTTTTTAAAATATGAAAATAAAAATCAGGTTTTTTAATTATTAAAAAAATATGTAAGATTTAAACAAGGACAGCCTCCTTACTGAAGCCCGTAATAAAAACAGAGGTGTGTCAATTCCTAGAAGAAACACAAGTGATTTTAGTTATTCCGTAGCAAAAGCATGGCTCTTTGCTGTCAATATTTGCCTCTCATTAGACACAGACTGATACCAAACATATCTGGCTTCAGTCTGGCTCTGGTCTAAGCCACATTACCTTTATAATTGTCTGCTGGGGTTGTTTCTCATTTGACTTCTGACCTACTGAGACTTATACTGCATATAAAATCAGTGAGTAGATAACGAGGCACTTTTAGATGTACTGATTTAATTGGATTTACACTAGCATGCATGACCCACACCCAATATTTTTTTAAATCCTACTGACACCTAGGTTGAATTTTCTCCATGTTGTGCAGGCATGCAATTCCAGATAACGTTATATGGAATTTAGGCAGGAATTCTCAGCAGAAACCCAGCTGAGCTGGATATATCCAGTGGTTTTAGAAACGCTCCATTATCCACTCTGTTATTAAATTAAATCCTGGAGGTAATGCTGCTATTCCCTTTTCCACTGAACACTACCAATTCAAAGGAAAACGTACCTGAGGTCAACCATGTTTATTCCTCAAGAAAGAATATATAAAAAAATGTATGAGAGAGTACGTTTGTTTCCATCTACCGAATAATAAAAGATGAACCTCCTGAATCAGAACTCTTTGGAAAATCTGTGCTGTGTCACAGTGTATTAGAACACACTTCAGATGTAATCTATGTACAGGAATAATCAGCTGTTATTTCTTTAAACCTGACTCATTGATCTTCTTTAACTGTTCTAATATTTTCCTTTTTCACTGTTCTCTCTCTAATCTGCTGAGTGATTTCCTGGTGTCATCACAGTCACTTTCAATTTCAAGCTCAAACTGCTCTTCAGGAAGAGTGGATGGGATGCAATGAGAAATCCTTTTGCTCATGGCACAAAATGATACGATCTTAGTCTATGCTTTTCTCCCACTTGTGAGGGAATGTTTCCTCTGGAGGAGCTATTTTGCCCCTCGACATGTACCACAGAAGCAAGAGACAATTGTAAGTTTGCAATGAAAACAGATGATGAAATGACCTGATGAAAATAAATATTAAGAGAATGAAGAGCAGCAATTTTCTGCCCCAGTAGTCCAGAAGGAGGAGAAGAAAAAATCTCCCAGGCTTCTGGAAAGCTTCCCTAGGCATTTCATCTGCAGAGGGTAAGAAGTACTGAGAATTAAAGAAATACAGCACTGGGAAAAGAAATTATCTGGAATTAGTAACCACTTACACTCCGGATAAGGAAGTGACAAAATCTTCATGGGAGTGTTTGTGATATTATCCTGCCTGGAAGCTATCCAGAGAAGCACCATTTTTACTGAAACTGTCATGTGATGAGATTATCTACAGATACAATCCTGGGATGGGATTACGTTCTGTTATTTGACTGATGGTTGAAGCTGCAGTGCAGAAAATGAGTGGGGAGGAGGAGAGGTGGGACGGCACTGGATGCCCTTAAACCATTGCAAAACCAAATGGTACCTTAAAATAAATCAAGCCTTCAAATTTGCCTGGGGGAACAATTTTTTTTTTTCTTTTATTCTAGAAAAAGGCTGCAATACTGCAACAAAAACAACTGGTTTAGAAGACAGAAATATTGGTCCTCACATTTCTGAAATGCTTCTTCAAGCATTCTCACTGTTGGCAGACACTTCTGAAAGCTAAGAGAGATGCCAACACTACAGCCAAATTACACGTATTCAGGATGGCTGCACCAATTCCATTCTCTTTTCTTTCTTTTTTTTTTTTCATTCCGTTCAATTTTATACAAAATATTCATCTCACATTTGTTTTGCTGATGAGGAGGGCACTATTGAGCACTGGACACACCAGAGTATCCAAGACATTTGCATGGCTGCTGGGCTCTGCTCACTTTGAGAGCACTTGTGGAACTGCTGCTTGCTTCCGATCTTTGGATACACAGAGAAACCTTTATGGTTGTACCAAAATAAGGTTTGTTCAAAAGTACACTGATTTTTTGAGCATTTTGCAGCTACAGTGAGGGTAAAATGCAGCATGTTGTTTAGCAAAGCACAAAAGATCATGTAACCTGGTAAACTTGGACACCTCCTGCTATCTTGTGATCATTCTGTAGCTGATTTACCAGCTCAGTCATGACTTCCCATCTGCCTGAAGGACCGATTTAACTCTACAGCTCCTGGTTGGTGTATTGGTCTTAGAGTGCTCCCATTGTATTTTATTCCCTATCTGGAGACCCAGAGTGACAAAGAGTAGTAGGATCTGATTGATGTAAGTCTGTTCCCATCCAAGAACAAGATCTTTTCCTCTCTCCATGAATAAGATACTTCCCTTACTTGTAGAGTAAGACTACATCTTTCTTAAGTCATCTGTTGTGAGACAGTCTTCAGTGAGCCTGAGAAACTTAAAACTGGAATGACCACTTCAGTGGTATTAGTTAAGGCATCTTCAAAACAGCACTGATCCTCAGTGAGGTAGGAAAAGAGCAAATGCTGTTTGGAAAAAGTTTCGTGAACTTGTCAATGGCATTATCAGCAAGTTTGCCTCTGGATAGCAGAAAGCCTTAAGGGTGCTGTAATAGCAGCTTTTCATTTCTTTCGAACGTGCTGTAGAAGTGAAGACAGAACGTCAGGCAGACTGAATTTGTTTCACATATTTCCATTTGGATTTTCAAACATACATCCAGGCATCCAAGGGTAATTCAGAGTCATTTAAAGAAGCTGAAAATGTCAACACTCAAGAGACAAGCCCCACTTAAAAGCTCATATTTTGCATCCCTGAGGGTGGTAACCAAAATGCTTATCTCATCATTACTACACAGTGTCTCAGCACACACAAAGACGCAGCACGTATCTGTTCTTTTAGGAGAGCTGCACTGTTAACTGATCCCCTGCAATTCCTACAACAGTTTGCCCATGAAATGTGAGCTCATATGGAGCATATTTGGCAAGAAGCGCCTGTAACTGACACTCCTCGGCTGGAGTCTGGCAAAAGAGATCCAGATGTTTGGGCCCATTTTCTGTGGGTGTCATCTTTACACTTTATTGTCTAAGCCAGTCGTTAGCAGCAGACAGAAGAGCTCCAGGTGCACGACGAAAGTCAAAATCAATACCCTAATGGCATCTGGCTCCTGCTCTTTCTCCTGGAGGAAGAAGCCAGCATCTGCCATAGAAGCCGAGCAAGGTTTTAAGACTCCTTCTCTCCCTGCCATAATGAGCTTGTCCAGCCTGCACAGACTCCATGGCTATGGCACTTCTTTTGTACTTCTGCAAGTTTCTGTTTAGCAAACTGTTCTGGCACTTACTTTCTGTACTTCTGTACATCTGCACCTACAGCAAGTCTGCAGATAACACCAAGCTAGAGGGAAGGGATGCCATCCAGAGAGACCTGAACAGCCTTGAGAGGCAGACCCATTCCAACCTCATGAAGCTCAACAAGGCCAAGCGCAAGGTCCTGCACCAGGGTCAGGGCAATCCCAAGTACAGATACATATTGGGCAGAGAATGGCTTGAGAACAGCCCTGAAGAGAAGGATTTGGGAGTGTCAGTTGATGAAGGACTCAGCATGAGCCTGCACTGTGTGCTTGCAGCCCAGAAGGCCAACCATATCCTGGGTTGCATCAAGAGAAGTGTGACCAGCAGGTCGAGGAAAGTGATTCTGGCCCTATACTCTGCCCTCGTGATACCCCACCTGGAGTACTGTGCTCAGTTCTGGAGCCCCCAACACAGGAAGGACATGGAGCTGTAGGAGCAGGTCCACAGGAGGGCCATGAAGATGATCAGAGGGCTGGACTAGATATTAGAAAGAAATTCTTTACTGTTTACTTGGTGAGACACTGGAATAGGTTGGCCAGCGAGGTTGTGGATGTCCCCTCCTTGGAAGCATTCAAGGCCAGAGTGGATGGGGCTATGAGCAACCTGGTCTAGAGGGAGGTGTCCCTGCCTATAGCCAAGGAGTTGGAACCAGGTGACCTTAATGTCCCCTCCAACCCAAGCCATTCTATGATTCTATGATTAAGTGGAAACTCTACTTCTCTGCTACCCAGTATAAGATCATAGGTTTGAAAAAAACGTGCAGGGCCAGCAAGTCCAACTTCTGTTGAAAAACAGCAGTACAGGCTATTCCTTTGATAATAATAACACATTCCTAATGTGTTGAGCTCCAACTTATGACCAATTACGTTCATCTAGTTCTAACCCTCAGGCGTGGGCAGAGGTGCCAAAGACTGCATCAGGCAATAGATCACGTTTCCCAGAGCACCATCCATCATGGCCCTGAACACCTCCAGGGATGAGACACCATCTAGAATTTCAGTGCATATCTGATGGAAGCTGCTCACGTCTGTGTTCATTATATTTACTTAGAGTCAGGTCTCATGAACTTGACTAGTAGAGAGAAGTCTGAATGTCTCCTTATTTCAAGGATTCTTTAGGAAAAAAGAAATATATATATATATATATAAAAGGTGTATCTTCTGATGCATTTTTATTTCACCAAAAAAAAATGAGACATCTGGAATGCAGTCATGGAGGAGATAAGCTTCAGGTGAGGCACAGTATTTTAAACCTGGAAATTTTTGCTCAGCTAGATTAGGTGTCAAAGTAGAAGACAAAGAAATCACTATATAGAACGGAAAATCTAATTAAAGCTGTTCAAAGTGAATTAATCTACCCTGCATGAGTGAGCTGAATATCATAATTACATGCAAAAGATAAAAGTGCTTGCTCTCAGTTCAACTTTATGACATGAAAAGAACCCTAAATGGCTATGCCATTCCAACCCCGCTGCTTTCCAGAGAGCATGAAAGCAAAGTCTCCATTGACAGGGGTCAAAAAATCACACACTCAAGTGTATGTGTACCAGGAACAGAAAACACAAGTATATAATAATAATCATTTCTAGAAGAAAGAGAGCTACTTCATGAAGATATTTCATGTGCCAATGATAGAGGAAAAAAACATTTGGCAGAAAGAATATTTGCATTTGGTGATACAATAGAAGCAGAAGATAGGATAAGGGACTTGTGGGAGGTCCACATATTCTTTGAAGGACAGATGGTGGATGTCTAAGACAACTGAACTGAGCGACTGAGCACCCAGCATGCAAGATTTTATCTATGAAGTGATAAGTACCATCGCAGACACTTCAAAACAGCAACATCCATGTCCAAGGATATATAGCAAGGTATTGGTTTCACTCTTGGTACATAAAATGCAACATAGCCAGCACTTCTAGCATTCATCCATTCCTTGCAATCACTAGGCTTCAGAGAAAATTAGAAGCAACAGAAATAAATATCATTATCAGCACTTTACATGAGGGCCCCATGGAACTGAAACGGAAAACAATTTGCCTAAGATCACACTGCACGCCAGTGACAGAGCATGGACAACAGGATGGCTCTCCTGTGGCTTTATCCATTAGGCTCTGCTGTCATACAGCACGTTCAGTCTCTGTGTACATAACCTGTTTATCCATGCTCTACATTTCCTGCTGAAAAAGGTCATAAAAGTGGCTCGTGTTGTCTTTATAGATCAAATACTGCAGTCAGCTTTGAACCTCAACAAGATTCTTTAATATGCTTTCTCCAGTCTTGGAGAGAGACCAGAGTCTCTGGAGTTCCAACAGTCTGATCAGCACCATGTTTCACAGTTAAGTTCAAGCTGACTCATTATATTTAGCAGGTGGAAATGAGGATGAGTATCCAGAATGAGAGCCACCGGTGTCCTTCTCAAACACCACTGAAAGATTCCTCTGCACCTCCAGCTTTGTGCAGTGACTTCAGCTGAGTAACTGAAGGTGCTGGAGGTTTGTTTTTTTCTGACAAGGAAATAATGAAGGTTCAAGTGATTCAGGAAGGCCAGCAGACTCTGCCCATGTGAACAGTCCTTCCTGCACCAAGACTATTTGTTTCTGGATCTGAACTTTGCTCTGGATTGAAAAATTGAAAAAAAAAAAAAAAAAAAAAAAAAAAAAAAAAAAAAGTATTTAATTCACTTCAATAGTTCAATCACTTCCCAGAGGACTTACATTAGTGATGCACCAGAAACTCAGAATAAAACCAGAAGCTGCCATAAATATCTCTAGGCCAAATTAATATGCCGTATATGAATAATTTTCACTTGAGAAAAGGAATTCCCCTGATGAATAAGGCTGAGCAAAAGAAGAAGACTGCAGAGATTAACCTGATACTATGGTGTGATGATATCAACGGGAACAAGCAACATTTGTGCATCAGATTTTACTTTCAGGTCATTGTACTTACCACTTGCAGGAGAGCCAGGTACCCAGCGCCAACGTTATCAAAGTTAACCTTAACTTTTGTCCAGTAAAATGTGCCAGAAACGTTATAGAGTATGCAGTCACTCATGTTGTTAATAATTTTAGAGTCTAAAGGCATATCTCCTTCTGTCTTATTAATGCACTTCCCAAACTTCCCAGCAAACAGGTTGACTCCCATGATGCTAAAGATGAGCCAGAAGATGAGGCAGACGAGCAGAACGTTCATGATGGAAGGGATGGCTCCCACAAGGGCATTGACCACCACCTTGAGTGAAATGCGGGAGAAAAAAACAACATTACTTACATTTTTTCAGAAGAAAAAAAAGCAGTTTCTAGAGGGGTGACATTTTTTCCAGATGCATCTTTTAATTCAGAAGCAATCTGCAAAGTCACCATGACCTCCCACATCCTACTGGATAATGCACTTCAGTCAGATCACTTTTAATAATCATGCAATTAATTGCAAATTATAGGGCTACATCAGTGTCTCAAATAGACCACAAAAAAAAAAATCTGAAATCTTTTACTGAGCTTGGGCCTCCATACTGCTTAGGCTATGAACTCTAGCTGTGATAAATTTTGCTGCACTAAACCAAAGTCTGCTATCTGGTCAACACAAATGATTAAAACAGGGAAAGCATTATAATGTAACAAAAAGATGACTTCACGTTTTCCCATGATGTGCTGTAAAGATCCACTACACCAACCCAGGCAGAGCTGTAACTCCCAGTTTAAAACCATACATAAGAATGAAGGTAAACAGACTCTAAGATCTTTGCCTTCTCTTTCTATATTTTTGAAACTGAAACAAGGTGATATTGGTCCATAAAAACAGAATTTTACTCAGTTATGAATCTGATTATTGAAAATGTCAGTTTCTGCTTTTCTTGTATTATTGTCCAGCTTTCTGCCAAGGAAATAATGTACAGCATGTATAGCAGCAGCATCATTTACAATACAAAATACAAAATTACATAATAAAAATCCAGATTTTTCTTTTGTGCATTTATGAACGAAGCTAATTTTTCCATAGGAAAAACTGTCTGACGTTATTTTATTTTCCTTCTATAAGGCCATTCTTAATTACTTCAATTACTGCCTTTTTCCCTCCTCCCAATCTTAACTTTCAGTTTTAAATGCTTTCCGTTCCTACTTTTATTGCTTTAAAACCAAGTTTTCTGCATTATCAAAAATGCCCAAAATTCCAAAATGCCTATTTGAAGACACTTTCAGCCTTTGTCAAAACAACTTTCAGTCGTTTTCTATGAAGGACAAAGTTTCTGTTCAATTTCCATCTGTGCCAGCACAAAGCCACAGGGCTGACGTCACATTTGCTTCTGCACCCACTTCCACCCATAACCCCATGACAGGGCACAGACATTGAGGTTCCAGCTCTGAAAGCCATGGCCATGCCTGCATCCCGCTTTTTCCCCTCTGCCGAATCATGTTCAATGACTCAGAGATAATGAAACATGACACGAGACTGGAGCAAATCCTGCAACACCTCTCCAAATGAATTATGAAGAGAGGATTTGATTCTTCCCTCGCTGCTGCTGCTCTTACACCAGCCTGATGCCATCTGCTCTCCTGGAAACGCTCCTCATTTGCACTGGGACAAGTGAGAAGACTTAAAGACCTGAATATGTGAAAGCAAGTTATTATCATAAATTCCTGCTGAAAGTTTAGCTGCTCAACTTGCCATGGAAAGGCAATATCCATATGCTTGTTTAAAAATAGGTTTTATACCTCTTCATTTCCATCAGTGCATGATAGGGGGAACAACCTTCTGAATGACTTCTAGAAACTGAGCCACCTCATGTCCGAATTCACGGTGGTATAAATGTTGCACCACTTGTGCCTGGTCCCCCTCCATCCTGATTGCATGGATCACCTTCCCAGATGAAGCTCCTTCAGATTTTAAATCCAGAAATAGATTTGCTCAATGTGTTAATCCCACCATTGCTATAGAGGCCACCAGCCATAAGTAAGTATTACGTAAGTATTTCCAGGCCCCAGCTATAATTCCTAACCAAACTTGAGCATGGCTTTTGCAAAGATTTTTAATTTACATTGTTGTGATTTTAAATGGTGGACCAAAAGGATAATGAGATTATCTACTCTTGGTATTCTTTGTTATAAGCAGGTGCCACATTTTGGTGTCAGATTTGCTCAGTTTGAAACACTATTCACCTGCTGTTAGATATAAAATCATAGAAACATAGAATCATACAAACATGTATTCATAGAATTAGGGAATAGTTTGAGTTGGAAGGGATCTTAAAGACTACCCAGCTCCAACCCCTGCCATGGGCAAGGATACTTCCCACCAGACCAGGATGCCCAAAGTTCCATCCAGTCTGTCCTTAAGCATCTCCACAGATGGGGCACCCAGAGCTCTCTGGGCAGCAGTGCCAGTGCCTCATTGATCTCTCAGTGAAAAATTCCTATTTCCTACTCCAAGCCCACCCTATTTCATTTTAAATCTACTACTCTTGGCCCTATCATTGCACTCCATGATAAAGAGATATCCTCTCCTTTGATCCCAGTTTATGATGTGGAGGAGTTACCGCTGAATACTGCTTTGAGTAATTTAAAAACAGAGCTTCTTTCTAACTGCTGTGGTTCCTTTGGATTTCTAATAATGCTGGTAGCTCCCTGCAGAGACTTTCCCATTTTTAACAGCCCCGATCCAGCGCTTTGGAGGAATTCCAGTATTCCAATGCTGCCAACCAAGGAAGCACTGCCCTCTTCCACTGTTTGTGATGTTATTTCCCTGTATACTGAAGGATTGTAATAGTCACCTCCTTTATCAGACCTGCCCAAAAGGTTGTGTTGTGCTGTTTACCCCAATCCCTAAGTCCTTCTTATCTGCTGTTTTCCAAGAAACATTCCCAGACTGACCTACTTTTCTGCTCCCGCAGCATACGATGTATGTGGTTTTATTAAAATGCATGTTGCACAACTGATCTGGTTTTCCCCGTGATCCAGATCAGTCAGTATAATTCCCTTATCTGTAATATCACTTACTACCCCACTCACTTTGTGTCTTGTCAGCAAAGATGTTATATTTTCTTCCAGATGCTGCTAAAGTCCAGATTAAGGACAGTTCTTACTGCGACGGATCCCTCAACCTGGGACACTCATCACTGAATTTACAATGTCATCACTATTTACAATCACAATTTTCAGATCTGTCATCCATTTTAAATTAATCTGAAGTATGTTTATTTGGCTTGGTATAAACCTTGTGTTTTGATCACAACTGTCCTGTAGTATCGGATTCCACTCTGTAATCTAAAGATATTATATCAGCAGTTACAGTCATCAGCATAATTTGTAATCAAATCAAAGGACCATATCAGTTGCACAATAATTATTTCCATGAAATCATGCTAACTAGCATTAATTATGCTATTTCTTTCCTGATGTATCTTGTAGCAACCTCTCCTTGACTTTGCCCAGTATCAGTTTCACATTAAACAGTCTATCATCATTCCACTTATCCTTTTGAAATGCTGCAATAACCTTCTTTGCTGGAAAGAGCCTTGCAGAGAATTGGAACCTCTGAAAGTAATGCCTGAGGGACAAGAGACAGAGAGACACAGAGACTGTGTAATTTGGGACAGGCAGACCTCAGTTAATTTACCATGGGCTCCAGCACGGTTTGGAATGCAGTAAGTGATGGGGCAGTGGTACACGCATGACATGATAGGGAGCTGTAGTGACTTCCTAAAGCATCTTCACTACATTTCTTCACTACAACGTCATTTCAGGAGAGCAGTTCTACTTTATTCACTAAAGTTGCGCTTTGCTGATACCTCTGGTATGATGAGAGGTATCATACCAAAGGCTGCTTCCAAATCACAGGTCTGAGGCCATCCATCAAACTGCTACACTGTGCCTTTGCCTCAGGATCAATTCCTTCCAAAATTCAGGTGCACCCATTTAAGTCTTTTGCTGCAGTAAGAATTTTCTTGCTCCTGCTCTCACCATACAGAAATCCTTATTTAAGAAAAAATAAATTATACTAGAGCAAACTGTCATTTTCTTATTGTCAGTGTTTGCATCTAACATTATCATGATTTAATTCATCACTGCACTGGCAATTTTCCCGTGCATTCTGGAGCATACAAACTCCTAATAATGAAAGGTCTAACTATCCCTAGCCGTTTTAAGTGCAGTTAGACACACTAAAAACAAAATGATTTGTTTTCCAATAGCACGCATTGTCAATTACACTTTATGATAGTTTACAAGCTAATTCACTATCTCTGATGGCTCAGAAAAACTGAATACATTTCAGTTGCAGCAATGGTACAGGGAGGTGATCAAGCACTGGGTGGATGGCAGCTATGGACATCTTAGTGTAGATATTTGCTGGGCTGAAACAACATCATATGTCTACACCATGCAGGATGTCCAGGAAGCCAACTTCTTGCTGTTCTCAGAAAGCCTTTCAACAGAGCTGTGAACATTTTCATGTTATTTCTTTCCTATTGCAGTTTCTCATTTTTCCAGTGCTTTAGGCTACTCTGCCCACTGTTTTTAAGGATTGAATTCAATTTAATTAAACCGACACAAACTCATGAGGGAGTATTGTTATGTCAGCATAGAATATGTTGAAGTGGTTTTGCTTGAACTTGCAAATCTACCACTAGAAGCTCAGTCTTCATAAATCAGTTTTAAATTAATTTGCACATATCTCTCTGGTAGTTAAACTAGTGCAACTTCTACTGAAACAAACTTTTATTCAAGCTGTGCCTACTTCATAAAACCTTTGAGTGAAGTCATAAGTTGGCATAAGGTTAAGATCCTTAGCAACATCCATAGTGCGACATCACTTTGTACCAGCTGAGAATCTGAAGTTTACTATTGTTCTAATTTGTGGATAAACTTTAAAATACTGCCTGTGTTTGCTGGAAGGAGTGTGGTAGACAAAATAAAGCAAATTTGGTTGCCCAGATGAAGATGAATTTTGCTGATATTTATCTCAAAAGTAATGCAATTTAGAGAATCACAAGTTCTCTAGGACAAAGCAATATATCCTCAATATTGGTCATCCCAGAACAGGCAAACAATGGGCAAAGGGTTTTCATACCCATCACCATGTTTCTTTATTTGGAGGTCAGGTTCTCCTAGACTCCTGTCTTACAGCAATGATACTGCAATGAGAGCAGTTAATTGCAAGGAGCTCCATGTTCACAAGTTCACAAGTTACATCTGATCATGAGAAAGATATGCAGTCTGCAGGTAGCAATTATCAGTAACATCTGCTGATAAGCCCTTAGTTCTCAGGTTACACATGGTGCAAAGAGTTAAACAAACAAAGAACCCATCTGGCCTGTGACTGATCAGTTCAGCAGATATGTTACAAATAAACAGGTATGCTGCATACATGAAAAAGAGCAAAACTAAAAGACAGAACAACAACACAAGCTACACAGTTTTAATATCAGTCCTGATATCCCACTTCAAAACTCTGATCTGTTCAAATGAAAAGATTTTTCTATTCATTTGTTTGCTTTCCATATCTTTGGCATTTTTAATTTTTGATTTAATTATTAGTGAAAAAGTCCTTAAGAACTTTCCCAGTCAGTCTTCTTTCAATACATGCCAAAGACAGGGAGTAAATTTGAAGCTTGGTTATTCCTCTGATGTGCCTTATAAAGCATACATAATTGCTAGCCAGATGCTTCCTCAGCCAAAAAGCTGTTTTCTGAAGTGAAATATGACAAGTTAGGCAGCAGGATTAGTTTATCATGACATCCACTGGAGGATAAAGCTGTAATGGTACAATTACAATCAAGACAAAGGAGGGACTTCTGATTTTGTTGTTTTGGGACAGCATTATCAATCATTTTCTTTAGCAGAAGAAATGAAGACTAGACCGAGTGCAACAGGGCCCTGTTACACGCTTGCTGCCATGCATTTCAACTTTGGTGCTTTGTGTGCTCTTACCCTCATCCCTTCAAACCGTGACAACGCTCTCAGTGGTCTCAGAGCTCGGAGGGTCCTGAGGGATTTAATGGGACCCATCTCGGAGTATCCAAGAGTGTTGGCTATGAGGCTTATTAAGGAGACCTGGATGAAGATACAAAGCAAAAATCCAAGCTGTTATTATGCTTCTGCCATCTTCTTTCTCTTCTGCCTTTTTTTTCTGAACAGTTAGTGGAACAGTGGAAATAAACACAGCTTTAAATGAGAGTCATTTAATTGGAACAACAGAAAAAGAAGTTTTTACATCCTCACATATACATATAGAACACGTACCAACTCACAAAACTTTTTTTTTTTCCATTTTAAATGCAAACTTTATAGAATACACTTTCAAAGATGTTGGTATTCTTTTAACTAAGCACAGAGAAATCTTCTCAATGTCAGCTTGCACAAAGTGGATGAGAAAAGAGATCACCGTTATAAAAGCAGCATTCTCTGACACCCATGCTGTAGTTTCCTTCATGCTTCTCAAGGTGTGTGCCTCTCCCACTACTGAAGACATGATGACTCATGTAAGTGCTATAATTTAGGGCTTTCCAGATGAAAGCACCTGTAAGATCTATCCATTTCCAGCTGTGATAAAAGATTTTAGTCTTACTGTTCAATTATCCATCTTACACTTACTCATTAGAAAACAAGTCTTCTAGATTGCTGATCTGATTTAATAACGTAGACTCTAAAATAATCCTGTTCATGGTTTTGAATCTGCACTTTTTCACTTTATTCTCGTTCCTGCACAGCCTCCAAAGGGAAAAGAAGCTCAATTGGTACTCAGTGCTAAGGCCCATACATCTCAAAGGCTATTTCACTGAAACACATTCTGAAATATTTTCAAATCTGAAGGAATCATGGAAGGGTTTCAATGCTCTTCGTGTTCTTGGAGCTTTCATACTGCCCACCTGTTTGTATTAAAAAGGAACCAAAATGAATCTCCACATGGAGGTTCTCCAAAGGGCAACACTATGGCACATATTTATGCCTTTGGGGGAAAGATCAGCACAGAAAATGGCCTCAACCCCATAAAACTTTGGAACTCCCTATCAAGAAAGGTAGGAGGTATGAGAAAAATACTATACTCAGTAGTAGAACCACAATCTGCACACTCATACACTTCAGAGTGATCTCATTCACTGTAAAATAAACGTACAGATTTATAATGAATCAATAAAGAGCACTCAACACGCTCCTTTGCTGGCTTTGCCCAGTGACTGCAAGTCAGATATTTTCAAGGCTTCCAACCTGCCCTGGTTATGTGCATCTGCACGCTTCCTCCTTCATCCCAGATTTACATCCTTAACTCCCTTTTCCATCAAGGCAGTTGATGTCGTGTTCAAATCCTGCAGGACCAGACCTTGGATCTGAGCAGATTACCATTTTCTCTAGAGTGCCACAAATGTCACCCTGATACACATCACAGGTGCTGTTGTCCTCCTGACACAGATTTACACAGCATTAGATATCTATTCAGAGGATTAGGCCATGAAGCAGTGTGATATTTGGCAATGATTTACAAGGCTGGAGTCAGAACTGAGTTTGTGGCAAGTTGTTTAAATGCTCATCTGTTGGTTTTGAAGGTATCCCCGCCAAACATTATTTATAGGAGAATCACTAACCCACAGGCTTGGCCATTTGGACTTGATTAAAAGTGACCTGGAAGGTTATTTTTAGGAAATGAAAAAACAAGCGGTTTTCAAAATTGGTGCTGACTGCCCCACATAATCATAGCAAAAGGTGAAGTCAGCGGTTTCTGCAAGTTTTTTTTCCTGCTACAGCCTGGAGCTACTCTAAGCTTCTGCTTTTGTTCCCTGCTCAGTATGAGATCCTGCAGGCACCCAGAAAACACCAGCAGGACATGCATAGCCTCCACGTTCATGATTCTGCTCATATTTCTAATCCTCCCAGTATCGGTTTGCAAATGGTTTTGTTGCATTTTCAGACAAGAATATCTGTAAGGACCAGACAGCACTAGATCATTATGGGGCTCAGGAGAATCCTAAGAAATCCTACTGTCTTAAGTGTTTCCCAGAAAACACACAATTTGCTGTTGGGTTTGAGATTTCTTTTGCATGGCACATATGATAGTGGGGAAGCTACGGAGTCTCCCTCATCCTCCTGTGCACCTCTTCTGATCTAAGATGCCTTTTAATTGTTCTTATTTGCAGGTGCTCTCCTTCCAACATTGTCTTTGTGGTACTTCCTAGAACCTGCTAGATCTTACTAAGAAGCTTTCACAGTTTTCTATTTAAATCTTCCTTTCCTTCCCCTAATCAAGTAACAGTACCCTCCACTTTGGCTCTAGGCTACTCCACATCCCTTTTAATTCTTGATTTTTTTGGTTCCTCTGAAGTCCCCAAGACGATGCTTTCACTGGAGTCTGCTATCATGAGCCCCAGTTCACAACCTAGTCAGCAATGAGAGTCTGTAAGGCTGCAAATGGGTCCTCCTAAATCAGAGATGGGATCCTTCCTCTACAGACATTAATGGCAGAAGTCACAGAATCACAGAATTGTAGGGGTTGGAAGGGACCTCCAAAGATCATTGAGTCCAACCCCCCTGCCAAAGCAGGTTCCCTACAGCAGGTCGCACAGGTAGGCATCCAGGCAGGTCTATGGGCAGGGATTTCAGTCACAAGACAGCTCTTCAGCACAGCCCAACAAGAACTCAACCTCAGCACTCTCAGTAACTTCGCGAAAAGAATTCCACCCTAAAAGAGGGGAAGCCTCTGAAAAAAGCAGCATTTCGTACCTCAATGGCAGAGTTGAGTTTCCCAGTAAATCCCAGGCTTTGAGCAAGACCACAGTCAATGTTCCCTATACAACTTGACTTCTTACCACCACTGTAGAGTAATGGGTGTTGCTGAGCTCTCTCTGATCCTGGCATTCAGGGAAATTTGTCTCTCCTGTTCCCCACTTTCTTTGCTCACAGGTAGTTTTACCTATATTTATCTACAGATGTATCTATGCACTGTATTTCTATATGCAATTTATCTACATACATTTCCTTTGCTGGGGAAATGACGGATCTTGAAGGGGTTTGTACGACAGCTTCCTGGAGATGGGTACAGGGGATGATGAATGAACTTCACCTCTTTCATTTTTTTGCCATTTTCAGTGTTACACTCAAGAAAAAAATCAGAGCTTTTAAATCCTGTGATTGTGTTGAGCACCAGACTTGCCAGCCATGGGGATTATCCGGCCAATGCATGGTGTTCTGAAAGCGAGCCTGTGTCATCTATAGAGCTTAGCAGCATGGGTCTGTCATTGTACAACATTTACAGGTGTTTCCAAGGCACAATTGAGAAGAATCAATGGATTCAGACTGCTGTAATACAAGCAATGATCTCTAAAAGGAGACTAGCCTCACTGATAGCTCTTCAAAGCTGTTGCTGTTATACTTTTAATGAGAACAAGCCTAAATTTCTCAATCATTTTCACAATGCACTACTAGATTACATTTGAGAAAAGGTTTTTTTGTTCAAGAATCAAGATGTAGTCACTCCCATTATGCTCAGTGTTGTTCCTACAAACCAGCCATGGTGTGTCCTGTATCCACCTGTGAAAAGCAAAGTGGTGGCCATGGCAAAATGAGCTCTTTGAAAATGTATCAGCTTCTTCTTGAGCACTGGCTTTACAGAGCACTTCTGCAAGCTATCAAATGTTTCAAACTCCTTGAAGAACTCTACAGGGAGCACATTGGTACTCACATAATTCATGAGCTAACAGATCTGCAGCACTTCTCGGACTATTGAAATTATGAACACAGAGATAAAGTCACAGAATGGGTATATATGTCTTCACTATCTGACAATGACTTAAGAAATTGGTGTTGTAAACCAATACAAACCCCAGTAAAGCTGTCAAAAGAGAATTTTAAGAGCGTGGAAAAAAGCATTGTAAAGTAGGAAGTGCAATAATGAGTTTCCTTTCAGCACACAGAGAGGAAAGGGTCTTTAATCAAAGCAGACAGGTTTTTTCCCAAGGAGTTATTGCATTTATAACAGTAGTTGGGTTACTTCCTATACATCTACATTGTGATAGTATTTCAGGAGCATGCACACCCTCTATTAAAAGGTAAGGCAATCTTACCGGTGCCAAAGGGCACAGCCTTTGGGAGCAGCACTTCACTTGAGCCTGACAGAGCTCCCATAACAAGGGGGCAGATTTTAGTTGCCTCCTTGAGTTGCAGATTTGAGGCATTTTATTTTTGTTTATTTATCTATCTATCTATTTATTTATTTTGCAGTTTTCTCACCATCTTAAAAGCACATCCTTCCAGATAACAAAGTGGACCCCAACAGCACAATGCTTCTTGGCACAGACCACATCATTACTGATATGAATTAACAGCAGAGACAAGGAATAAACCGTTTGGTCTGGGCAGCTTTAAGAATCCTCCTTGGCTGCCAATTTAATGCCTCAAACCTGTGAGAAGGTTACTGCTAACTACACACCCTGCAAGCTGGGAGAGGAGCACAGACCTTGGCCCTGGTTGAGGATGCAGCACGTGCTGTGTGCACTCAGGGATTTCATCAAATTAACCTGATTGCTCCAATGAGAGACTGGGGAGTGGGAGGAAGGAAAAAAAAGGCTGTCCAAAATGGAACACAGCAGCTGAGCTGAAAGCTTGGGCCACTGATTTAAATAAGCCATTTCAGCTAATGCAGGCCCCCAGTGCTTTCAAGTAGCTTTCTGTGTGCCCCAGCAACACCTGTCTCTCTCTAATTGTGCTTAATTCATATAGTTTTTTATTTTTTAAATGCAAGGTAGAAGGAAGAGAGCTTGGATTACTTTGGGTGTCTCTTCCATCAGATTCTCACAAGCCACCTGGCAGCTCAGTGCCATTATAAACCAAACCCCTGGTCCCCAGTTGCTTCTCCTCATTTGGAAAGGAACGAAGTTACATCTCTACCCTCACTACAGAATAAGAAAACTGGAGGGAAACAGGAATTTGCAAATACAGTTGAGGTATCTGGTGCTTCTGTTAGCTCTCTAAAATACCCTTGGGTGAAAAGGGTCTGTATAATAATGTTGCTGTTCTCTCCAGACCTACCATGGCTGAGCAGAAGTTTATTATCCCCTTCATCT